GACAGAAAATTTATGCTGGTCTGAAATGTGAAGCCTCTTTTTCCCCTGTGTATAGTCGCTAACCCCAGCAGAATTCACTGAATACTCCCTTCTTTTCTCCCTGTGTCGGGCATGCCCTTAGCATCACGAGCTGAATCATTTCGCGCGCGTGCTTTAGCGTTCGTCCCTCGCGTTCATCTCCACGGACCTCTTCTGTAAGGCCCGATCTAAACCACGAACACGCTGTGGCTGCTGGCTGTTTTACAACAGCGATAGGAACGGAGATGTTTACAAGGAACGGTAAGAGTGGCGGTCGAACGAGAATGGGCAGGTTCGGCCCCATGTCTTGCACTTCTTCAAACGGAAGGAAGCAGAAGTTCCTTTTCTCTCTCCTCCCTCCGCCTTTCTGTCGGTGAGTGCCTGCCTGCTGCAGATGTCTCATGGCTATTTAAAGCACAGGGGAAAAGGAACCCAAGAAGTAGAGGCTGCTACTCACAAGGGTCGAAGAAAACGAGTGTTTGAAAAAAGTCAAACCAAAAGCCATCTTCCTGGCCACACACTCTCACCTCCCCTGTAAAAATAAAACACAAGTCATTCTGAAAGCTGAATTAATTCTCACAACAGCAGGTTAGTGTGACTTTGTTTTGGGCTCAAGAAAATAAGGCCTGACTCCATCCCACAGGTTGACTGTTTTTACTTCTCATATTTTCTGCTTTTACCTACATGCTTTGCAGCCAGACAGAACTGTTACAACAGGGACTCCCAGAAATAACCAGAACTTACAACAACTTTGTACCCGAGGAGAGTCAAGAGATGGACGGGATGGCCTGACTCCAGTGCAGCTGATGCCTCACACCGTGGCCCGGCGCACAGAGACGAGCTGGGCCTGTCGTGGTCCCTGGGATGCAACTGGGGAAGCAGGAAAGCAGAAGCATTGGCCATGCGTACTGACACTGAGCAGTCATGACATGTGGAGAAGGGTTGGTTAGCGATGTACAGTTGGCACAGGACGTCCATGATGGCCACTTGTAGACCCATGTTTTGAGAAAGCAGGAACTATGAGTAAGCAGATACAGCTGTATGGCGGCACCGGATGAGGCATGCAGACGTGAAATGAGAAGCAGAAATACCGTGAAAAAGTCGACGGCCCCTGACATGTCCTCCGTCCCCCGTGGTTTCTGAATTCACTCCATCAAGATAGCATCTCCTCTGGGCTCTGCACTGAGCAGGGACAGGGGACAGGGTAGTGACGGAGAAGGAAACGTCCTGCATCAGAGCAAACGGTGCCTTCCAGTCCACACCACAAGCGACCTTGCAGTAAGGTCCCGTTTCCCAGAGAGTCCTTGAGGTGAAGAGACTGCCCACAAAACTATACTTTGTAAGACAATGTTACCTTTCTTCCACACGCCAGCTGTGTGAGTTAGGTCATGTACTTATTTATTTGAGGTGCAAAGGAGAGACTCCCACGATTACTTTCAGGAACAGGGGCATATTCCAAGAATACACCATAAAGTGGTGAGAGTCAACTTACATCAGTTCTTTAGCGCTATCATCGTTGGGGCTTAGCACAGGGGCTAAAAACACACTGATTATATGGGCCAGGCAGAAACTCTACGAGCAAACTGGACCAAGTGTGAGGAAAAAATCAGGCTGCCCTCTCTTATTCTTTTATTTTCCTGCTTGCCATGACAGGTGGCTTTTGGCTCCAAGTAACAGAAAAGCCCAACACAGTGGCCTAAACAGTGTAAGCTTTATGGTCTTTACTATCTAACTTCTCCCTGATTCTCCACATGCCATCCACGTCCTGGGCTGGCTCGGCTAATGATTGTGAGGCAGTTGCCAGCAGCAGTGAGGGCTCCCGGCTCCCGAATTCGTGCCCTGTTTGGAAGAGTGTGTCTCCGTTGCAGTCATGGAAAAAGAGTCCTTTCTTTTGGCTGACTGGGCCAATTTATGTCATTTGTGCTCTGCTGGGCCCTGGGGGAATGTCATGTCTTGAATGGTTAGTCTGGGTTTCCAGACCAGTCACTGTGAAGAGGCATGAGAGACTAGCACTGGTTCTGAATAGTTAGATCCAGAAACAAAGATGACGTTAGCTTTTCCTGAGCTGCATAGGTAGCTGGTGGGGAGCAAGGAGGGGGGCAGCAGAAATTGCGAGTAGACAGCTGAATGGCATCCCGTTTGGAAGGACAGGAGGGTGCACACTGCACGTTAGTACAAGGCAGCGTTTCGGACAGAACTTTCTGCAAAGGTGGGATGATCTATGCTGTGCTGTTCACCGTGGTAACCACCAGTCACAGGAGGCTACTGGGCACCTGAAATGTGGCTGGTGTGACTGAGGCACAGAACTTTTCATTTTATTAAACTTGTAGTAATTTAAGTTCAAATTGCCACACGTGGCTAGTGGCTAGTGCACCAGACAGTGCAAAGAGAGAAGATTTCTCTGCGGTAAGAAAATGAGACAACAGAGAGTGAGCGGGCCTTAAGTAAGCTGGAAAGTGTATGCCCCACATCAGACAGTGCCTGCTACCTGGTGTCAGCAGATTGTGGCCATGGGAGAAGACAGGTGTGTTTTCATCACCTGATGCTGCCTAACAATCCTGCCCTGAACTTAGTGGTTCAAAATAACAAGTATTTCATCTGTTCACAATTCTGCTATCTGGGCTGAAGCTCAGCTGGGCAGTTTCTGCTGGTCTTGCTGTTGGTGACTTGAGTGGCTTCCTTGAGCTGGTAGGTTGGCTGGGATGATGGGGACCTCCTCTCAACATAGTTGCAGACTCTTCTTCGACACGTGGTCTCTCCGGCAAGGTGCCTGGACTTCTTACATGGTGGTTCAGGGCTTCCAAGGCACCAAAGGAGAAGCTGCGAGACCTTCCCAAGGCTCAGGCCCAGACCTGGCCCAGGGATACTCTGCCACATTCTCAGAGCGTTTTTTTTTTTTTTTTTAAAAACACTGCACCCAAACCAAACCATTTCTTCCTGCTAGACTGTTTTTGCAACTTCATGGTGTCAGAGACTGCAGGGTACACCCAACTTCTTCCCCAGGACCAGGAACTGCTCAAAGTGCCTCAGGGTACCTTCTGACTTCCGTAACTGCCACACCCACTTTATTCACTTAGCTCTATACTTCTCAGCTGAGATAATCCGACTGAGTTAGTCTGCCGTCATCCAAGATGGCGCATCTGCATTGGACAGACCTTCACACTAAATCACGTGAACCAAATCAAATGGCTTCACTTTTACCCACATATTTACTCTGCATTTTGCCAGAGAGTGTCAGTTTTATCAGTCTTTTAACAAATACTTGGAGGTTCTGTCTCATGTTCCAGCCAGAATGTGGAAGAAGCACTGCACTGTACTAGGAATTGAGTAAAAACCTTTTATTTAAGACTGAGCTCTGCCTACTAGGTGTGTGATCCTGGACAGAAATCTTAAGTGCCTTGCCCTTCAGTTAAATTAGAATATAATGTACACTTTAGAACATCAGGGGAGTCTCAAAAAAAAAAAAACATAAAATGCTCCTTTGGCACCATTTAAAAATCAAATATTCACTCATTCATTTCCACATGTATTTATCGTTGGCGGGGGTTGTGCTAGTTTCTTGGAATACAGTAACGGACAAACAAAATCACAGCCCTCCCAGGTTTGAAGACAGATATTAAATCATTTCACAAAATATATAATCATTAGTTAATATGGTGTTGTGAAGAAATCGTATAGGGTACCCTAATGACATATGAAAAGGGATCCGCCCTGTTCTGGGAGGAACTGAAATGTGACATTTCGGCTAAGGCCTGAGGATGATTGGCATTAATGGATTGGGCGTGAAGGTCCTACACTGGCGTTCGATGATTCCCTCTTTAAATATTAAGTATTTACTGCCTTTTGTGTGCCAGAACCGTGTGGGGCAACAGTCTAGGGGTCACTCATTTAGGAACATAAAAAAGTGAACACATGCTACTTCAAGGAAAGACTTCTTATCCAGGTGACCTACCTGCAAGCCCACTGCCCAGGTAACGGCGCCATGCTTCTCTCGGCTGGCCCTGAAGACAGAGGAAGTTAGAAGCATTGGTCTCGCGCTCGTCCCATCATTCAGCTGTGGGTCCCACCATCGGAAGCCATGCTCGGGCCATTTCTTAGGGACACTCTTTCACTCCACCATGTGCCGGTCACTGTTGCAGGTGCTCTGGGCGCGGTGAAGAAGAAGACACATTAGAACCCTGCCACTACGGAGCTAGTACCTGTGGGGACCAGTACAAGCCGGGGAAAGGCGCAAAGGAATACACCAAGAACGCGGCAGGTGCTACGGAGAAAGTACAACAGGGCAATGGGATGGCGGCGGGACCCACTTTAGATGGGACGGTCGCGAAATGCTTACAGGGAGTGGACACCTGAGTTGAGGGATGAAGGGAAGCGGGAAGCCATCCGCGTGACAAGGACACAGGCTCTGCGCCTGGCTTCTTCTGGGACAGCGGTCCTTCGTGGGGACCACTGGGAATGCCTGCCGACAGCGTGGCTGCCAGCCCGGCGAGCGGGCGTGGAACCGGCACCCGGCGGCCCGCGGAGGCCAGGGCGCCGCTCACCGTCCCACCGTGCACAGGGCAGCGCACAACACAGACCCATCAGCCCCCAAAGTCAGCCGTGCGCCTGTAGAGAAACCCCGTCCCGGGGCGCGAAGGAACCCGCGGCAGGCGCCAGCTTCCCAAATCGGCCTGGAGAGCGGGCAGAGTCCGGGGCCAATAAGGGCCTACGTTTCCGTAGCCGGGGGCTTGACACTTTGGAGTGCCAGGCGCCATTCCGCTTTAAAAAGTACTGTGGGTGGGAACGCCGGGATGCTGCGCACCACTCACGGCGGCAGCGGGGCCCACCCCCCCCCCCGGCCGGGCTTCCGGCCAGAACCGGAAGTCACCGGCCGCTGCGGCCAATGGGGGCACCGGGCGGGCGGGCCGAGGCGTGGCCGGGGGGGGGCGGATCTCGCGAGAAGGGCGGTGGCGGCGGCAGCCAATACGGACGCCGCGGGGGAGGGCCGAGGCGCAGACGGGCGGGTCTCGTGAGAAGGGCGGCGGCGGCCGGGGCGGCTGTGGCGCGGAGCGGCGGGCCGAGCGGCGGCGGGCGCATGGAGGGCGCGGCGGGCGAGCGGGCGCCGCTGCTGGGCGTGCGGCGGGAGGCGTTCGCGGGCCGGCGCGCGGCGTGCGCGGCCGTGCTGCTGACGGAGCTGCTGGAGCGCGCCGCCTTCTACGGCGTCACGGCCAACCTGGTGCTTTTCCTGAACGGCGCGCCGTTCGGCTGGGAGGGCGCGCAGGCCAGCCAGGCGCTGCTGCTCTTCATGGGCCTCGCCTACCTGGTGTCGCCGTTCGGCGGCTGGCTGGCCGACGCGCAGCTCGGCCGCGCGCGCGCCATCCTGCTCAGCCTGGCGCTCTACCTGCTCGGCATGCTGGCCTTCCCGCTGCTGGCCGCGCCCGCCACGCGCGCCGCGCTCTGCGGGGCCCCGCGCCCCACGCGCGTCCGCAACTGCTCGGCGCCGCCCTGCCCCGACGCGCCCGCCCGCTACTGCGCGCCCGCCGCGCTCGGTGCGCTGGCGCTCGTCGGCCTGGGCGTGGGCGCGGTCAAGGCCAACGTCACGCCCTTCGGCGCCGACCAGGTGAGCGCCGCGCGGGTGCACCAGCTGCGCCCAGGTGCGCGCCGGGTGCGGGGACAAGCCCGCCCGCCGACGCCCGCAGCCAGGGGCGCTGGGGAGAGAGGGCCCCGCAGATGGAGGGCGCTCTCTTTTGGGGAGGGGCCATTTGGGAGTGATGGCGAGGTGGCTCTGGGAGCGCAGCCCGAAGGCTGTCCGAGGTAGTGGCGGCCAGAAGAGCTTTCTGGGACTCGCCGGCAACAGGTGCAAAGGCCCAGGGCCGGGAAGGGAGCGATGCTCTTGTTGCCGAAGCCGCCTCGGTGACAGTCATGCTGCAGTACATAAATGTTTCCAGTCAACACGGATTGTACACACTTGGAGTTCCCTAAGGTTATATGTCAAATGCCTTTCAAAAACGGAAATGGGGAGATAAGTGGTAGAGGCTGGGGCCAGGTCCTGTGAAGCTTTTAAAAGACTTCGAGGTGTGTTTGAATAAAGTAGGAAGCCTTTGCGCCTTTGGGGTGTGGGAAGTAGTATGATCTGATGTTCGGTTCTAAAAGGGGCTTCCAGAGCGCAGGTGTGTGCCTGGCCGCTGAGGCCTGACAGCCAGATCTGGTCTACTTCCTGTTTTTGGAGGGCCCACAGGCTAAGAATGAGACTGGTTTTTAGGTTCCTGAGTGTTAGGAAAACACAGAGTCTTTTGTGACAAGGGAAAACTTTATGAAATTCAGATTTCAGTCTCCATAAATCAAGCTTTGTTGGAACAGCCCTGCCTGTTGCTGGCCACACACTAGTCTGTGCTGGGGCTGTTTTCGTGGTGCCATAGCGGAACCGGGGAGTTGTGGCAAGGACTGGATGTCTCCCAGAACCTAAAATACTTAGGCCCTGCCCTGTCACAGAAGAAGTCTGCGACGTGTGGTGTGGAGATGGGCGAGGGAAGTGATGACCACAGGCATACCAGGTAGGAGTCCGTTACACTGGCCCCGTTCGAGGGGTTTGGACTAGGGTGGACTCCGTGGACGTGGAGACGGCAGTGGGAAGAAGATCCCTAGGTTTTTGTGTCGGATGACCATGTGATTCTGCTGATGACTTGCAGTGCACCAGGCCCTGTGCCCAGTACTTCATTAGTCCTCATGACATTCCCCTGCTGCTGTTGTGCCCATTTTACAGATGACGAAACCAAGGCTTGAGAGGGTAGATCATTTGCCCCAAGTCACACGGCTAGTACGTGACTGAGCCAGGATGCAGGAGCCTGTCCTTTGAATCTGAGCTTTAAGTAAAGGACCCATTACAACAAGGTGGCACCTTCTAATGACGTTGGGAATGATAGCTGCCTCTTGTCCCGAATTCTTCCTTCTCTGCGCCAGGAAATGGGCTTTATACACTGAACTCATCGGACCTCGTGTGAATCTCATACCCACTTTTCCAGAAAGGAGATGGAGGTACAAAAGATGACTTCTTTTTGTTGTAGTGAGTGATCAAGGCAGGGTGGTGGTCCGGGCCTGATTTCTTGATTGCTACTCTAACCGTGGCTTTGAGATGGGCACTGTGGGACACAGTGCAGTGGGGGCGGAGGTGGGTCTCCGGGCCCAGGCTCATGGCTTCGGCCGTGGGTGCCGGCCGTGAAGGCGCAGCATTGGCAGCATAGGAAGCACCTTTGAAGACCAGCCACATGGGCCATGAGCCGCATAAATGTTTGTCATGCCCCTCACTGTCCTTGTTACACTGCCTTATCTGAGCCTCAGGACAGTTTACGGACTGCACTTGTCTGTTTTACCGGAAACACCAGGGGAGAAGGTTTGACCTGCCCAGAACCACAGCAGGGGAGTGGGAGCTGGGTTTGGACCCAGGCAGTCGAACTTATGTGTCCGTTCCCTCCAGTCGGTAATGGACCAGCAATTAACGTTTCATAAAGGAATGCGTGGTCTTATAGAGGGTATCGAGAGTGCATGACAGAACAGGAAATTTTCTGATGCATAATAACACTTGGACATTAAAAAATGCTGTCTTCTACAAGATAACTAATCTAATCTCTTCAAATATTTTTTATTTTTATTTGTTTTAATTTTTCGTTATGTTCAGTTAGCCCCAACATACAGTACATCATAAGTTTTTGTTGTAGTGTTCAACGATTCATTACTAGCGCGTAACACCCAGTGCTCACCCCAACATGTGACCTCCTTGGCTTTGTTTTTAGATTCCCGTGGGGTGAAATGTCATCATGTTGCAACTTTTAAATCATTCAGCCTAAAGAGTATTTCATTTATAGCTACAGAAAAAGAGAACCAAGGATCTAGGTGAAGGGTATATAAAAGTGTATGTTTTACTATTCCTTCAACTTTTGCATAAGATTACAACATTGAAGTACAAAGTTGAGATGTCCTCGAAGTGATGCACGGATAAAGTCGATGGGGTCCCTCCACGCACCGGCACATCCCTCGCCATGAGCGCTGGTACGTGCTACAGTGGGGATGAAGGCTGGAAACACCACACCAGGTAGTAGATCCAGACGTGGAAGGTTACACGTCCTTTCGTTCCTCTTGTACAGAAGTTCCCGGAACAGACAAATCCATAAAGACTGGAAGAGGAGTGGTAGCCAGGGGCCAGTGAAGAGCGAATGGGAAGTGCCTGTGAAGGAACAGGATTTCTTGGTGGTGTGATGAAATGTGGAATTGGATAGTGCTTGTGGTTGCTCCAGTGTGGGCAGGCTCAAAACCACGGGGTTGTACATCTCAAAATAGTGAATTGTTTTATATGTGCACTGCATCAGTGACAAAGCATTTAGGAGGGAAACGTTGGTACCCTTCTACCAGGGCGCTCGCTCCGCGGCAAGTGCTGCGGGTTTGGTGGAGGCGGTGTGGCTTCGAGACCCAGGTCTGGGCGGGAAGCCTGCCGGTCTGGTCCTCAGGGTGAGTTAGCTCCTCATCTGGCTCTCCTTGTTTTGAGGAAGTCTATTTGTGTTTCTAAGGTACTTTTTATGCATCTCTGTCACTCCCCACCCCCCCCTTATCTCTGATCTAGGGCCTTTAGGGAGTGTTCTAAATGAGAGATGAGCGGGGTTAAGCTGTGCAGCTTTGGGGTGCGTCCGCTGGCTTAGGACAGAAGATGGGCCGCTAAAGATGCCAAGGTGATCCACACTGACGCAAATCGTGCCAGTCCCTTCATTCTCACCGGAGCTTCACCTGTTTCAGAGGTCACATTGTCCTTTCAAATAGCTAACTGAAAGAAGAAAAGCTTACTTTGCAGATGTAGAGAGCAAATGATACGTTTATTTTCCTAGTAGAAAAAAAGTGGCAGTCTTGTGCATTTGAAGGAATTTTTCCAAACCAGCAACTGTCTGACTTACTGTACACAACTCTCTTCTTTTAGCTTTTCTGAGCTGACTGCAGTGGTATCTGTTGACCAGTCACATGAGAGGCTGTTTACCCTCACTGGGGGAGGGCCAGAGGCCCCTGCGCGGATGATGATGTAATGTGACTGGCAGCAGGCTCGCCAGCTCAGGGCACAGAAGCATGTGATTTGCAGTTTATAGGAGCCAGCTTCCCATTTGTAGAAAAAAAAACACTGGTATGTAAAGAAAATCACTGTTATGTAGTTATTTAGGGCCTTAGTAAGAGGCTTCGATTTCCAAAGTAACAGAAAATTTGACTTGGATGTTCAAAGCAGTTGACTGTCAAGTTCACACAGGACGATGTGTGCAATGTTGTCATAGGTGATGAAAAGGGCCTGATGTACTTCAGCCAATACGTACGTTGTCTGCATTAATTTAGATGTTCTGTTTACCGGCCCTTTTCCTTTTGAGGCTTGCTGAGTGCCATCCCCCCCCCACCATTACTGGTTCTTATATATTTAGTTATATTTTCTCTGTAACCATTTCTCTGCTTATGATTTTTTCTTTCCTCTGGTCTGTCTTTGGATAGTGTGAATATTTGCATCTGGTTTAGTAACATTAATTTGTGTCCCCATGAAGAGCTCTCTCAGAAATAAGAGAAATTCCCGGGGCGCCTGGGTGGCTCAGTCATTAAGCATCTGCCTTCGACTCAGGTCATGATCCCAGGGTCCTGGGATCGAGCCCCACATCGGGCTCCCTGCTTGGCGGGAGGCCTGCTTCTCCCTCTCCCACTCCCCCTGCTTGTGTTCCCTCTCTCGCTGTGTCTCTCTCTGTCAAATAAATAAATAAAAATCTTAAAAAAAAAAAAAAATAAGAGAAATTCCCAGGACGACTCATTCATTCTGTCCTCATGCCAGCATTTGGTCCAGGACCTCCATCCAGATCTAACATAGGCAGGAGGCGAGTTGAAGTTCCTCCTGAGAACCTGTGGTTTATTTAAAACTCAGATTTTCAGGTTGTGATGCTGGTTACCATGTCATTAGCCCAGGCATGTCTCTTGCCAACACAGCCATACTTAATCATTTTGGATTAAAATTTTTTTTCTTTTGAGGAGCATACAATTTTGACTGTTTTATACCTGTAATTTCAAAAAGATAGAGGTTATGATATCGTATCAAGTTACATGACTGCTAACAAGGGGCTTTTTTGTATCTGGCACTTGGTTGTTTGGGCCCCCATTGAAAACCTTTGTGCTCTGCTGGTGGAGATTGTTCTGTGGAACATGTGAGATCTGTTCTGACAGAAATCAGCCTTTCGATAACTTGTAACATAAGGAGGAGACAACGGAGGTTCCTAGGACAGCAAGCCTAGGACCATCTTTGTATGCATCCCAGCATCGACCTTTAGCTAGTAAGCTTTTTTAGAAATGGTGTGAGATTACCAGCTAGAGTAGAGTGGTGTCCGTGTAGACGTGGACGTCACAGGGAGAAGGGAAGGCATGTGGGGCGCCTGCCCCCACGTGGAGTGCCACTGGCACCGTGGGGCCCATCGCAGTGGTCCTGTGGGCAATGTTACCTGGCGCTTCTGCCAAAGTTCAGGAAATGGGTGGTTGTTGAGCCTTCCAGGAATCTCTGTCCTTACCAGCATGTCTCCTGATCCCCTCCATAGCCTTCCTGGACTGAAATAGCATCTAGTGTTAGTTTCAGTCTGGAATTTCCTCTGTGCCCCAGATTGATCAAGGCGTGGAGCTATCCAGCAGTGGTTCTAAAACTTACCTGTGAGTAGAGGTTGCCTGGAAAATGTTTAAAAGGCCAATTCCTGGCCCCCAACCCCAGAGATGATGACTCGGTAAGTCTGGCCTGAGAGCCTTGTGAATCGGCACTTTGAGGGAGCATTCCAGTGTTTCCAGAGCAGGCGGTGCTCAGATGTTACTTTGAGAAACTCTCTTGGATTTCTTGGACGTGAGCACACTTAAGAAAAACCCTACGCAGAAAGTGTAGTGATTGAAGTTTAGGGTGCTCCTTTGTGGGGGATCCTGAGCATATCTGTAAGCACCAGCTGATGGTGCTGCGTTTCTTACAGACTGCCATGATGGCAGTGACCATAGTCACTTCATTATATAGGCTTTTCATCCTTGCAGATTACCACGTTTCAAAGTCCATTTCCTCCCTGTTGTTGTAGGTTAAAGACCGAGGTCCAGAAGCCACAAGAAGATTTTTTAATTGGTTTTATTGGAGCATTAATCTGGGAGCAATCATTTCTCTGGGAGGCATTGCCTACATTCAGCAGAACGTGGGCTTTGTGACCGGCTACCTCATCCCAGCAGTCTGCATCGGCATTGCTTTCCTGGTCTTCCTCTGCGGCCAGAGAGTCTTCATCACCAAGCCTCCTGATGGCAGTGCCTTCACCTATATGTTCAAGATACTGGCATATTCGTGCCGTCCCCAGAAGCGAAGTGGAGAACACGGTCAGAGTGGGTGAGTGCCGAGCTGTGATCATAGGCTCAGCCTAACACGACTTCCCCAACGCCGTGAATAAAGTACTCGCTCATGTCTGACGCAGGCTTATGATGTGCAGGGCTCTGCGCTAGTGGTTTAGGGTCTCACGTCAGCTCAAGGAGGTGGTGTGGCATTACTGTCTTCCAGCAGCCGGATTCCAGAGCTCATGCTTTTAGTGTTCAGCTTCCACACTGCATTTCCTCTCACTGCTGATTTAGATGGACCTCTGGCTTATATAAAGACGAGGGAGGTAGGGGCACCTGGGTGACTCAGTCAGCTAAGTGCCTGCCTTTGGCTGGGGCCCCAATCCCAGGACTGTGCTCAGGGGGGAGCGTGCTTTTCCCTCTCCCCCTGCTCATGGTGTCTTTCTGTCTTTCCCTCTCTCTCAAATAAATAAAATCTTTCAAAAAAAAAAAAAAAAGATGGAGGTAGAAATCGGCAGAGAGCATAGGAGAGACACTATACATATTGTGTACATTTCTCTTTGTATTCGAAAAGGCTTTGGAGTTCACTTGAATGAAAAATCAAGCAGTTGCTTACTTTTGTAGGTACCTCTCTGTGCTCCTTAAACAGTAAGCTGTCATTTCTCACTTGTGAATCAGCAGCTGTGGGTCAGCGTGGGCCCCATCAGCCCATGGTCATTGCAGCCAGTCTGTGACAGGAGGACATAAAAGGATTTTGAGATGCAGGTAGGGGAACTATATCATCCCCTTTGCGTGGGACTTCCCTGTTTTAGCACCAAAAACCCCACGTCCTGGGGAAGTCCCGGGCAAACTGGGACGGATGGTAGGTCACCCTAGATGCATATTAATAAAGGCAAGTCCAGAACGTAGCCCAGGAAGAGACCTCAACGATTTTGGTATTTGTTGAAGCGTAATCTACGTGTAGTACAGTGCATCCCTCTTAGCTTTACAGTTCTGAAATTATGACAACCTTATTTGACCATGTAACCGCAGTGTGGTCAGGATAGAGACTATTTCCATCACCCCAGAGAAGTCCCTGGGACCCCTTGTAATTGACCCCCTCGGAATATCTTGATCAAAGCAGGCATTCCTGAGGGGTGGGCGGTCCCTGAGCCAGAGGCTAACCGTTCAGCTGGAGGGAGCCTTCTGCCCGTTAGGGCAGCACGCTCATGGCTGGGTGGCCCTGACTGCTGAAGGTTCTGCAGACAGGACCCAGAAAGTGCCTCCTTGTGGCTGGTCTGCTTGTATCTTACATACACCCTTGGAGTCACGTGAATGTCTGCTATTTGCTTCCATGCGGGAGGTTTGAAGCTGTTCCAGAATAGCTCTTATGGCCTTGTCCCTTGGCTCCGGGCTACAGGGGCTCCTCGACTGTCCCTGTGTGGGGTTCCCGCAGATCTCCCAGCCGCACCTGGAGTCCCAATGGCTCAGTGTGGCATTCAAACTCCTCATTCAGAACTACCAGTGGTGGCACCACACTGGAGAATGTTTAAAAGTTTGGACAGTGCTGCCTCACTCTTGCTCTGCCAGAGGCTCCCGGACGCTGACTCCCCGACTCCGACGGGGCAGAGGCGGGGTTCCACACCCGGACGCTGACTCCTCAATTCCCACGGGGCAGACGCAGGGTTCCGCTCGTGGACGCTTACTCTATAGATTAGTTACTCATGAGCAAAATATAGCCTTTAAAGTTTCAGTGTGTCGGTGTGGGCGGTACCCGTAGACATTTCTGCAAGAGGACAGTTTTGGGTTCTGAATGCACAAATGGTGTGACGAAAAAGATCTGGACTGACTTCTACTTAGGGTTAAGTTTGTTCTTCGGACAACTGGCAAAGTTAAGATAAAAAGGACTATCTTGCAGAGAGGTCGGTGTCCAGAGAATTCTCAAATTATGCTCTCATTGTACAGAGTCCGAGCTCTGTGACCTTGGGCAGGTGAATGACCTTGCCAAGCCTGCATTCCCTTTTGTACAGTGGAGAGCGGCTCATCTCACACGATCATTGTGAGGCCTGAGAAGCTGACGTGTACACAGCTCTCGGCGGAATGCCTGCCTGGCCCATGATGAGAGCCCGGCTGATGTCAGCTATGGCCAGGATGCTCTTGCAGAAGGTTGGCTCCAGAAATCTAGGGAAGTTCAGCATCGCGCAGTGTCTCCTCCATCTGGCCCGGTTCTGGTTTCCTTCTGGCCTAGGTTGATCTGTGTCCTGAAGATTAGTTTAACACTCCTTTTACATGAGAAGTCCATGTATATCTGTTCAGTTCATCAGACTCAGTGGGAATAGTTCTAAACATTTTTTAAGATACATACGTCTTTGAGTGGAGAGTCTGAGAATTAATAGACCGTCTTCCTGGGAGAAGACATATGTGTGCAGAGGCTGTCTGCACACAGGTCCAGGGAGCACAGCCTCATGGAGCTGGGGTACTTTTTGGGTCCTGTCTGTGTTTCATGTCATTTGTGTCTGTGGCTCCATGTTGGACCCTCGTGTGTTCCAAAATAATACACTAACAGCATGTGTGAGTTAGGGAAAGCATGAGGTGCCTGTGATTTAGTACTTTTCAGAATATCTTAATGACATAAGTAATGTAACCAGTAACATGTCTGAGTGATTCTCTGTGTAAAAATGGATTTGTTACTGGACACTGACATGTTTTTAGAGAGAAACACATGTAGTATGATGTGTAGTAAGTCAGATAGCATCTGAACTAGGTATGTAAGGACTTTACATTTCCTTTTGGCCAAGTAAAATAAAATAAAATAAAATAAAATTGGAGAAACTGAATATTTTCAAATGAAAGTATGAGTAGTATATTTGGAGTTTCGAGTTTCTCTTTGAGTGTAGTTTTCCTGATTATTTTCCTTACTAAATAAGCTGCATATGATTAGGAGTAGTATCTTTCTAACTTTATTTGTGTATCTTTAGCACCAGGTAGAACAGACCTGGGTGTGTAGTACGCAGTCAATAAATGTTTATTGAATTGCATTTAGTTGTCCTGTTTAAAATTTGGCTAAAATATTAAGTTACAGTTTTCAGTTTTTTGGTCCCCCCCCACTCTGAATGTTCAGATGAAAAAATGTCAATGTTTTGAGACAAAAATGATTTAAAATAGTAGTCACTTAGTTATAAATTGGATAGGAGTTTATAAACTAGAGAGCAGACCACTGCCTTTTATATCTGAATCCCAGAATTGGAAAACGGGAAGAATTCTTAATGGTAATTATTTATCTCCTGGTATTTCTGGCTTTAGAGAATAGTTGGCAAATAAAACAATTTTTTTTCTGTTTTATCCCTAACAATCTAAGAGCATATATCTCTGTTAGAGTGTTGTGGAGCTGTCCACTGGGACGTGTTCATTTTATAATTAATGAAACTGTCCTAGAGTAAGCGAGTGAGTGTAGCTGCTAATGCATGAGCCAGGACCGGAAGGCTTGATTTTCTGACCATGCCGCCTGACTCATGTGAGCGTGAGGGTGAGGCCTGTGGCCAGGGAGCGGAGGGGCAGGCGACGTCCCCTGGGCCTGGGCCTTAGGGTCTGCAGCCAGGGCCCTCTGGGTCAAATCCCAGCCCCCATTCTCTGGCTTTGTTACCTTGAGCACATTCTTGACCCTCTCTGCGACGGGGCTTCCTCCTTGGTGCAGTGGGGCCAGTGAAACTATCCTGATGGCTCCTCCCACGGTAGTGGTCCAGGTTAATGAGCGAGCACCCAGTGCCACCAGCTGCCTGGTGACATCGTCGTGTTACCATCGTGATCACAGCTTTCCCTGCCAGAACAGAACCCTTCCTCATGGGCCCATCAGTGGCTGCACTTTAAAGCAACAGCTTTAGTAACAACATCTGTGTTATGGTTGTGAAGTTTTCACGTTTGAAAAAGCCACCCGATTCAAAATCCAAACAATCCAGCCCATTTTTTCCCCCTCAAACGCTCGTCCAGCGCTGTAGCTGACGTAGTGACCAGCTTCAAGTGAAACCGCAGGCCTTGCTCGGTGTGCGTGACGGGAGCTGGGGGAGAGACCAGCCGCCCCAGGTCTGTGGCCTCCTAACGTGGCAGGAGCGCAGGTGCGCTTCCTGGCGAGGCCCTCTGCCGGCCGCGTCCACACATGCGCAGTGCTTCCCGCCAGCCCAGGCTGCTGTGTTCAGTGCGCAGTTAGTGAGGAGCAGGAGGGTGTTCAAGCAGATCAGTGCAGCGAGCTGGCTTCCTGCCTCCAAACGTAAATTGTTGCCACATACGTGATTTCTGGGGGTGGAAGAAAACTAACTCCTTCATTTTATCTCCCAAAGTGAAGGCCTTGGAGTCCTTCAGCACTCTTCTAAACACAGTCTGTTTGATTCATGTAAGAGGTCTCGTGGAGGGCCGTTTGCGGAGGACACGGTGGAGGACGTGAAGGCCCTTGTGAAGATCATCCCCGTGTTCTTGGCCTTGATACCTTACTGGACGGTGTATTTCCAAGTGAGTGCCGATGGTCGGATATCCATTGCTTTCTGTCCCCGCGCTCGCTTTGGTCGCCACCAAAGTGCAGGGGCACCGTGCTCTCCTCTGCGGGGTCTGTGGGATCTTGGAATCCTGTTTCCAGTCGTGGAACTCACTTCTGCTGAGTTAGACGTTTTGAGACCCTTTCCATGAGAGAAGCTAAGAGCGGATGTGCTTCTGCTTTCCAGGCCCCACCTTTGGGCTTAATTGCTCTGTTACTTCTTTTCCAAAGTTGATCTCCAGATGACTTGTATGATGACCAAATAATCGATCTGTCTTCAGATCCGAACCATGTGCACATCCTCACGGAGCGGTCTGGGGGTGGGCGGCTCGCTGGAGTGTTCCCACACATAACGGTACCACTTTTTACACCCAGATGCAGACAACGTATGTTCTGCAGAGTCTTCATTTGAAGATTCCAGCGATTTCCAGAATCACAGCCACTCCTCATACGGTGAGAACAACTGAGATGATCTGAAATTATCACCTGGAGCGTTTGTAACAGGCAGGTGCCTTCCGCCAGTCGTAGGTCCTTCCCAAGGGTCCGTGGTGGCTTGAACCAGAAACATTCTCATTGGAATGGAACTTTTGCTTATTTTAGAGACTATTCTATTGGCCGTGTCATTTCCTAGATCGTTGACAAATGTCAACCAAACACTGATCTTCCTACCTGACTTTTTTCTCCCTAAAAGCACAGAAGAACAAATGCAAATGCACTTGGAAATGAAAATCTTTTTCAGTTCCAATGTCTTGAAACTGAGACTTTTTCCTTAGGAGGTTATACTTTGTATGAATGGACTCTTCTAGAATAAAGATTTTCTCAGACATTAATTATGAGGTGAATGACAACTTACTCCTCCCGAGAACTAACCTTGTCTCGTGTGTTTTCGATTCTAGTTCCCGGCGGCCTGGCTGACCATGTTCGACGCAGTTCTCATCCTCCTGTTAATTCCCTTAAAGGATAAACTGGTTGATCCCATTCTGAGAAGAAATGGCTTACTCCCGTCATCCCTAAAAAGGATCGCCGTTGGAATGTTCTTTGTGATGTGTTCTGCCTTCGCTGCAGGTGGGGAGGCATTTCTGTCTCATTTCTGGAGCTCGAAACTGGCGTTAGCAGCTGTGGATGACTCGGAGCCCCATGACCGGCCTCTGGTCACGCTGCGTGTGTGCACCCTAAAAGAGGACAGACGTGGGGTGTTGTGAACGGGTGCCGTTCACTTTCTGGTTTCCATTATGCGAAGGTTAAGATTTTTTCCCTAAGGCTCTGCTGTTTTTCTTCTAGAGCCAAAACTGGTAAAGTGCTCTGGAAAGTGACTTTTGGCTTGGATCAGAGGAGGCTTGTTCTCTCCCTTCTGATTGAGATTGTGGACGACTGTCGATTGCTGAATGGATGAATTTTTATTATCAGTCTCAAAGTCATGGGTTGACCCTTAGTGTTCTTAATTTAGGTCCAGAGTCGGCTTTGGTCTGCCCCTGAACAATCGCGTGTGCGTTTCGTGAGGAGAAAGGTTTTATCAAGTCCAGGTTCATGACCAACCCCCACCCCCAGAGAGAGAGGGGATGTGAGCGAATGCCTGAAGCACCCCAACACTGATGAGGGGAGTTTTCATGATTCTTAAATTCTGAACTGTTAGGTTGGAATATCTTCTGATAGAGCTGAGGTACTGCTGACATTCTCAACTCGCTCTGGAGTTCTTCCTTCATTAATATTTGAAAATCATTGAACTATAAGACAGCTTAGTTACATAACAAGAACAGAAAAGCTGATATTCCTGAACCAACTATATATCACCTGCTGTTATGAGGAATTTAATGTTAAGTACTGCTGAGACAGAATTTAATATTCTCCAGCAATGTTTCCCAGCAGCCTCCATGCACTGTCCCCAGAGTGAACATATTGATATAGTACTTAATAGATTTAAAGAAATGAGTCCCTAGGCTTAAGAAATCTATATTCCAGGGACTGGGACATTTTAGAAGACAATTACATTTTCTCTTGATCAAACAGATAATTAAAGTGAGGTCGTGTCTGAATGAAGTTTTTACTGTGTGCTCTGTTCATGATTGTTTCTCTTCCAGTCCTGTAGCACATGGGGAAATAAGCAAGAGCAAATAAAAGCTAAATTGCGGTGGGCCTGTAATTGCGGGTCTCATTAAGCAGGATCAGAGATCAGGGCAGTTTGGAGTAACAGCTGCCCAGGGTTGCTGTCTGTCCTGCCTCCCCTCTGTCCCTGTACCAGGGGGCTCTCTCTGCACCATGGCCACGCTGGTCACATGCCAAGGAAGGGGGGTGGTCCTTGTTCTCTCCCTCTGGGAAGGGAGGTGTCCTCGGTTCAGGCATTTCCTAGGAGATTCCGGGTTTGGGCTCCTTTAATACCATCTTGTCTTTCGGTTCTTCTGGGGGCCACCCTGAGAACCAGGGAGGGCATTCCTGTGGTCTCTGCACATGTTTGTGCAGGAGGCAGCTGACAGATGCGTGACCTCTGAGAGTACCCTGTGGGCATGGCGTCCAGCCTTCACCGGTGCCCGCAGTACACACGCAACTTCTCGCCCAGCGCTGGGCAGAACAGGCCGTACTCTGTGGGGCCGCCCGCGCCCCTTGGCGGGGGGAGCGGGCAGCTAGTGTGGTCACACAGCCCTGAGGCCTCCGAGTTGGAATTGCTTTCTTAAAAATGGAAGGCATCCACTATGCTTGTGTTCTTAAATAGTGGAAAGGAGCCCCAGATTCACTGGTTTGGAGATTTTAAGTATCTGGTACTTGATTTAAGCACTGTTTATTAACTGTAATGTAAACATGGCCCAAGATGCACGCAGTTTTACTTCCAGCTCTAGCGAGTATTTAATTGGAACATTAATAAGCTTTGAGTAGAAATTGAAACTATCCTAGCAAACCAACATTTTAATAGAAAGGAAACAGTTTTGGCTTTGAACTTACTACCCTCCCCCGTAACCAATCAATATCTTCCATTTAGAACCATGCCTGCTGGTAATGGTTCATTCTTTTGTCTCTCAGCTGAGAATCAAGCAGGTCCCAGGGGTTTTTTCAAGTGTGCATAAGGAAAAAGGAGGTGTGTTCATTGGTTAAATTTCCTTTTCCCCTTAAAGAACGGTGTGTGTGTGTATACCCCTGAATTACTGGAGCAAGAGATGCTCACTGGAGGGAGGGTGATCTTGGAAGCATGAAGAAGAAAATAGAAACCAGCTGTAATTTCCCTAGAGACGCTCACCATTAGGATGGTGTGAACCTGCCTGATCTTGTTTGTGTGTCTGTGCACATGCACTCCGTGTTTTTGCAAAAATGAAATCCTGTTGTGCAAGCTGATATGAGCCTGATTGAGAAAGTGTCAGAAAAACCCTAAGTATAATAAAAGCTGAGCATGTTACATGTAAGGAGGGAAAAATCTGTATAAAGACAGATGAGCCATTGCGCACATGTGCACGTGCACATGCACTCATAATTCCACCACCTTTGGAAATCTAATTACCATTCTGCGCGTGCATGGGAAAATTACATACATGGTATTTGGTAGATACGTTTCTGTTTCCTTTGTCACGCTTTGAAAACCAGCCCCGAAGTATCGTGAATATCCCTCCATGTCACACATTCCTCCGTGGTTGGGGGTTGGGGGTTGGCGTGCTTGGGCTCATGACTCTGGGCATTACTGCGGTGGATTTCTGCAAGTGTAATCATGGCATCCCTTTAAGACTTTGGATAATCTGACAGAGTTCTCTTCCAGGAAGGCCATGACTCCACCAACACCCCAGGCTGGTGGTGCCTACCCGTCCACGTGCTGGCCTCCCCATCACCCTTGGTGGTGTCATGGGTGCTCGTCACTCAGGTGTAGGTGGGAGTCTGTGCACAGCCTTCAGGGCCAGAGAGCACCCTGAAATTGGGGCAGAACCTGAGAGCCTTTTCCTGGCTCGTACCTGGCATTAGTTAAGAACCACTGGTCCACAGCAGGTTTTCAAAAATTAGTGTCACATAGTTGATCATGGTCATGACAAACGCACAGAGAAGAGCCGGGAGACCCCAGAGCATCCGTAACCGCCCCCCCATCCAGGGTGACCACGTGATGTCTTCCAAGGACATTTGCTGTTACAGCTAAATTCATCTTTTTTTAAATAGAAATGAAACAAACTATTCAGTTTATAACTTAACTGTTCTTGTGTATTATATGCATACCATTTTTCTATGTCAATTACACATTTAAATCATGGTGTTTAACAACTATACAATCTTCCGTTGTTAAATATACCATCAGTTCTTAGGCCAGTCCTCTCTCAGTACACGTGATGGCTAACTCCAGTCTATGCGCACGTCAGACCTGCTTGTGCACACGCCCTCATCCGTCCACATGTCTGTCCTTGGCTTTCTGTCCCCTCAGTGGGAAATGTTCAGGGCACAGGCACGAGTTCTGCTGTTAGCTCCCTTGTCAGTGCTCATTACTTTTTCTGTGAATCTCTTCCCTGAAGGATTTAAACAGGATATGTCTTCGTTTTGATATATTTTAGGGTGATGGTGATTCCCCCCGACATTGTCCTCAGATTCTGTGTACAGTTATGCCCTGTGGCATTTTGTACTGGGGTTTTTTTGTTTATGGGATCTTGCAGTTTTATGCGTTTCTTCATTTTAGGTCCTGTGCATTTTGTGTTAGGTTTTTCCTAACTACTTGATGTACTTTTGCTTGCTCACATAAGGGATTTTTAAAAATTCTGAGTTCAAATGAGTTCTTTTCAAATGGTCACTTGTTTTCTTCAGATAGCATGGTTTCACTTCCTGCCTTCACGGTGATTTCTCCCTCCCTGTGTCTCTGTTAGGCGGTGTTGGCGGGACTGTGCAGCACTGGGAGAGCTGGTGGTGATGGAGAGCCCGCCCCCACCTGGACTCTGTACAGGGCGCCTCCAGGGCAGCTCCCGGGGAAGCTCAGAACTGGAGTTTGAGATAACATATTCACGGTGCTGCTAAATTTCTAACCTTTATTTCAAGTTTACTGAGTATTTTTGGTAGAAATGAATGTTAAATCTTTCTCCAGTAACATTTTGGTTTCCAAGAGGACTGCATGCACCCCTGCCCCCAGGGATTGATGTTTTTTTTAGTTATATTAAATTCCTGATACTCATTCCTGCATTTCTAAAACAAATGAGTTTTTCCAGAGGGCTGACTTTGATTGCAGTCTGCTGTTTTATTCACACCTGCGTGCCTCCATCCCTAGTTGACATTGGTCTGTGGTTTGGTTTTGGGGTCGTATAGCTTCATAAAAGGAGTTGGTAGACCCCCAATTTCTATGGGCAGGAGAGTATTTCAGCCTGGGGAGAATTATCTTTGTGCTCCCCAGGTCTTTGCCTAGAAAATCACATGAGCCTATTGCTCTCTCAGGAGAAATGGGGTGATGTGTTCACCTTTTTCTCAGTTTTGTGCAGATTGTGTTTTCTCTTGAATCACTTGTTTTTTTAAAAATGTCCCGAGTAAACCATTCATTTTATTGAGTTTTAGAAAAATTATTGGACTGGAGATAAAAATTGTCTTTTAAATAAATCTGTTGTATTTCTTTCCTCATTTCCAGTTTCGTGTATTTATGTGCTCTTTTTTTTTTAATTAGGCTTGCCAAAACTATATGTATTTGATGATTTTTCCATAGGAGTATCTCTTGAATTTATCAATTTCACTTTCTCTGTGTCTTCTAACAATAGAGAATAATTAAGACACAATTTCTCTTCTATTGCCTTGGGTTTGTTTTCTGATTTTTCTCTCTCATGAATTAGATTCTTTATTTACTTTTGCTGCTGCTTCTACAGTTTAATAGTGAAAACTGTAGAATGGCATGAATTTGCCTGTCACTGCTGCTTTGTCAGGTCTCATGTGGTTGGATTTGTTGTAATTTTGTTGTTCTCCAAGACTACTGAACCTGGGTTTTACTTCCCTTTATGACGCACGAGTGATTTCAGAGAACTGTTTCCCTCGTACTGATGTTCATCCGTTGGTTAATGATGCTTCGACTTATTGTGGAGTTGGGAGAGATCCTGGCTTTGGAACTCCTGCATTCAGACTTCACGCCCTCCTTTCTGGCCTGATAGCGCTTTCTGGAAGTGTTTGTAGGGAGCCGACTAGGATGGTTCCTTTGTTGGGAGCGCCATCCTCTGTGTTCATCAGACGCGTTCTGGCAGGGGCCCGGCACTCCAGGGCCTGCGAGGGGCCCGGGGGTCCCATGGATGAGGGCACAGTCTGGGAATATATGGTGGTGTGTGCATCACCTGGTGAGTGGGGCCCAGGTTCTGCCCACACTCTCTCTCAAACACTGTGTGGGTCACCCAGAGTGACTCCGTAGGCATTGACCTTTGTGTCCCCTCTGTTCACTGAGTCCTGAGCCGTGTGTCGTGTCCACGGAGGCCAGGGCTTGCCTTTGGGCCTCTGGATGGCAACCCTTGCTCCAAACGAGGCCGTGGTGGTTTTTGTCTGCTTGTCCTGACAGGGACTCAGAGGGGCGTGTGTGTGTCACAGCGTCACTGGGTTTCTGTCTTCTCCGGGGTTAACTGTGTCCCCTGGGGGAGAGGTGGCGCACGTGGGGTCCTGAGCCCATGTGTGTGCCCAGAGTTTGCGCTGCTCACGTTCCAGAGCGCGGTGCCGTTAGTCTCCCCGGTGCTGTGCAGAATACATGCTGTCGTGTCTGTGAAGCCGTGGGCAGAGGGCCCGCGTGAAGTGCAGCGCATCTGTGATTTCCTGTGTGTTTCTCTTGAGTCTTCGGCTCTTGTCATGTGGCGTCACCTCTTCCTCTGCTGGTGACTGCCGCTGCGCCGTGGCCGGTCCCTCCCTCCCTGACCCCCGCGGTGCTGCTGTGCCTTCCAGCGTCATCCTGCCCACGCCGCCGGGTTTGGTTTGCTTTGACCTCTGCAGAGCCGTGGGTGCCTGAGGAGCGTGCTGTGTCGGCTGTTCCGGCACCTCCCTTCACACTCGATGCTTCCTCGTTAGTTTCCTGCTGTCACCTCACGACGGCCTGTTCCGGGGCCTCGGTGTTGGCGGCCCCCCTGCTCCGCTGTAGCAGCTTCGCCACTGGCGCTCCAGCCCGTTGTCTTCTGCACAGTCGGCCACGCGCTGCACAGCTCCTCCTCCTCCCGGGCCCGTCGCCGGAGAGCTCTCCCTCATCTTCACAGGCCCCCCCCCGCCGGCCTTGTGCTCTGCGTCCCCCTGGTTCTGCCTCTTCTCCCCCGGTCTGCATGGCGTCCGCATCGTGGCTAAGACCACAGAGCAGGTCGTGGCCCCAGCGGCACCCTCCACACCCGTCACACGCACACACGTCCCCTTACCGGTCCGGCCTTCCCCGTAGAGGAGAGTGTTTTCTCCAGCTTCTGTTGTCATCCCTCAGGGCCGGTTCAGAGGGTCCTTCCTGCAGACCCAGCTGCGCTAGAATTGCTCCAGAACCTTCCAGCTGCACGCTGGTGGCCAGTGCAGTGTCCTAACAGTGGGAGGGGAGCCTCGACTGACCCAGAGGAAGCCAGTCACACTTTGTCCTGGGCCCACAAGCTGTCACTTGTGGATAAGGCCCTTCGTGCCACCACCAGCGTCCTGGCAGAGACGGCCACAGGCAGTGCCACACCTCAGAGGCCCCGGCTAGAGCAGCTGGGAGCTCCAGGCCGACGGCTCAGCCCACCTGGGTCTGCCGCCACCTGGGTCTGCCCCGACCTGGGTCTGCTCCTGCACTTCCTGCTAGAGGACAGGGTGTGGGGGTTGGGGTCCCCTCCACGCGCCTCCAGGGAAGGGATGCAGGTGTTTCTGATGGAGGTGAGCCAGAGGCCTGTCCTTACCTTGCTCCTTTGATACACTCTTTGCCCTCTCCACACTCTTCCTTGTTCGGACATTTCCTGTGACCTGTAGCTTGGGGCAGGTTCCAGAATTTGTCTTCCCGTCCTCCTGTTACTGGTAGCCTGGACCTTTCTCATTCTTGGGTTTTTAAAAGGGTATTTTTAATAGAATCCACTGCCCTCTCCCAGACAGCTGCTGTCCTCATACGCACGGTTTTGAACACATGTGCGTTTGCTTAAATATTAGGCCCGTTACTCCATTCACAGAGTTCTTTAGAAACAAAACTGGTGACCTCTCTGACCTGAGAACTTGGAGCTACGGCTGTTGCTTTTAAGCTTTACTCTGATTTGGTTTATTTTTTTGTTTTACAAGGTGTGGCTGTTTGTGCTCTTGGTCATTTCCCCGTGTCTCTTTGTTGCCCCTGACAAATGACCAGTAATGGAGCGGGATCGCAGGGCTGCTGAGGGTGTGGGCTGTTCAGCGGGGAAACTGGTATCATCAGCCGGAGCCGGGGTTGTAGTTGTAAGGGTAGTAAGTCAGTGGGCCAGCGTAAATCCGTTACCATGGCAAGAAAAACATCTCAGAACTCACTGCCTCCTGACATGTGGGTGCCTTATTACTCTCCTCACGGAGGGCTGTGTGACAGCCACGTACAGGTGGGCCATCTAGACATCGGAGGCTTAAATCACACGTGCATAGCGTCTGTTGTGTGAGGCAGTGAAAAGACCCGCCTGACATGTCTGATAGGATCAGTGAGTAATTATTTAGGAAGCCGGAAGTGGGCGGTCCTTTAGGTCGGGCGCCTCCGGGGCTGCCGTGTCACTGGGCCTTGCCCTTCTACTTTTCATGATAGTCAGTAAACATCTCGTGGCAAGTCTGTAGTGTTTTAGTTTAACTGTGAATGTTAATGAACAAGTGTTCTATTAACCTGCTTATGAATTCTAGGAATTTTGGAGAGCAAAAGGCTGGACCTTGTTAAAGAGAAAACCATCAATCAGACCATCGGAAAAGTCGTGTATTACGCTGCTGACCTGCCGATATGGTGGCAGGTCCCACAGTATGTGCTGATTGGCATCAGTGAGATATTTGCCAGCATAGCAGGTGAGGCTTCTCTCCCTCCGGGGTGTGGGGCTGGCAGGGTCTGGAAGGAACGGGGGGCGTGATTAGAACACGCGGAGACACGAGGGGCCTAGTGCCCTTGTGGTTCAGAATGTGAGTCAGTAAGTACAGTGATACCGTGGCTGAGGTGCTCGTTTCTGGGTATAAAAACAGGGTTCCCAGAGACATTCCCATGACTTGTCCGCTACCGCGGAGGTGCCACAAGAGACAGAAGGAGGAAGCGGCTGTGGGTGGTTCCTCCCAGGTCGGACACTTCCTAACCACAGCTCTGTGGTTCTGCCGTGGCAGCCCAGCCGCTAGCTGCCACCAGAGCTCTGGGTGTGTCGGGTCGGCTTTATGAAGGAGGCAGACCTGTTCACACAGGCCTCTCTCCTCCTGCAAACAGTGTTCTGTGGGGTGTGGACAAGTGCAGCGTGTGCAGACCCGTTCCCAGCTGCTGGAAGGGAGGGACAGAATTAAGGATGACTAGAGCCGGATGGATTGTGGGGGGATGCCAGCGGCGGTTCCCCTCCACACCTGTCATCAGACTCACGCAGAATGCGCTCCTGACCGTGAAGGAAATGAACAGAGTGGTCCTTCGTTTGCAGTACATTGTGAATCTCCATGTGTAGTTGTTATAAAAATATGAATTTATAGATGCCCCTGTTGAAATTATTTTAAAATATATTGCCTTTAAGATAGAAGTCTTACAAAGAATCCCCATCTTAGTCTGTGTATGTTGTTTGCAGATCCTCCTTAGTTGAGAACATAGGACATTGCTTCTTTAACCATATAGATCAAGAAATACAAGAGCTGGTGAGTCAGATGTTACTGTGAGGTTTGAGAGCAAGGACTTGACTCTTTGCTCTATGACTGACTTGAAGGACTGTCCCAGTGAATAGAAGGGGCCCCTGAATTCTTGACCTTGTGCTAAATACAGTCTTCAAACTAGGGAAGGAAGAGAGCTGCCCTGCTTACCTGAGACCCCACATGGGGCCCCCTGCAAATCTGCCATATTTAGGCAGGGGCACTGTCAGCCCACCTCTCACAGAAACAATCTTTTTCTTTCTATAGGTCTAGAATTCGCCTATTCGGCTGCCCCCAAGTCCATGCAGAGCGCCATAATGGGTTTGTTCTTCTTCTTCTCTGGCGTCGGCTCGTTTGTGGGCTCTGGACTGTTGGAGCTGGTGTCCATCAAAGCCATCGGCTGGATGAGCAACCACACAGACTTCGGTAAGGGCCACACCGTCTGTTTGCACACGGCCATTGGCAGAACCCGGCGCTCGGGTCCCAGGGTGTGTGGTGTTACTGGAGCTTGGCTGCCCCAGAGCCGCCTGAGACCGCCCCCCCCCGATCCCCACGTCCTTGTGAGTTTGCCGGGGCACAGGTGAGCCTCTGTCTGTCCCAGGGCCAGATCGCCTCAGCCACTCGTGCTGGGTCTGCAGGGCTGCAGCTGCTCCCTCGAAATATCTTTGATCAGTAGCGTCTGTATCAGCAGGTTCTTTGTTTACCTTGGTTTGTATTTGGTTTTCTTTTCCTGACAGCACCTTTAAACTTTCTGCTGTTAAAGACAGATAGATAGATAGTAAGCTCCTTTCTTGAGCCACAGCTGTGACTTGTGACCGTCAGGAGGGGATTTTACCGGCCAGTAGGTGGCATGTTGGGGCGCTGAGCAGAATCACTCACAAAAGAATTTTGCTGATCCCAGATTTATGGTAGCTTTTAACTGGACTCAGGAGATGGAGGTTTCCTTCTTCCGTTTTGCTGTGAAAACAGCCTTAGTACTTGTTCAGTTGTGCAGCATTTACTTGAGTCCAGGGCCCTTAGCCATTTGTAGGTCATAAATCCACGTGGAACTCTGATGAAAGCCTGGGGACTTCCCCTAAGAAAATACAGAATTCCAAAGGCCCTTCCCTGATTGAGGTAACCTTTCCATCCTGAGGAGTGAGTTTAGGGCTGTGGAGTCCCAGTGTGACTTTCAGAAACCACAGCCGCCCCCGCGGCTCCCAGAGGCCTGGTCGCGCTGCGTTCTGGCTGTGGGAGCGTCTCCACGGTGGGCTCAGACCTAGTTGTTCCGAAGAGAGCAGGCAGGTCTGGGGCTTTGCTGTTGATTCCCAGGCCCCTGGGAGCGTAAGCGGCTGTGGAATACAGAGCAGGGGCACAGTGGCTCCTGGGAATTTTCACGGGTTCTTGGCGACCTGTGATCTGTTTTTCTGGGCATGGGATGGACCTTCTTCAGAGGAAGCCTTGCTGCAGGTCAAAACTCCGTGATCCTTCTATTTCTTTGTCTTAATTTTCAGCATATCTTGAAGGATTGATTGGTTTTGGTGATTTCGATTAATTGCTTTCCAGTGATTTCATCCCTTTGTCACTGACTTAGTATCTCCAACTTTACCATCATTCGCCCTCATTTCTCACAGGGTAGCATCCAGCCCCTCACTGTGAGGCTTACCTCTGGTCCTCGTGTCCCGCACACACATAGGGCTTGCAGCTGGATCCTGTGTGCTGGGGTCATTTTCAGAGCAGCGTGTCCTAGGACAGCCCCACACCATGTCTAGCGCTGTCCTTGTTTTCATGCCAGGAAGGAGAGTCTCAGCAAGCTGTGCCAGCCCCCAGTGCCCTGCAGCTTGGTTGGCAAGGAGAGGATGCAGATGTGGGAAGTGTGCAGCGGGCCAGGCAGCTCCCTCCCAGCGTCCTCCCACCTGGGGACTTGGGGAGAGAATGGGACCAGGTAACCCCCACACACGCCCAGATAACATTTTGCTTCAGTAGAGGGCGCGGCAGGTGCCATCCTGGGCGCTCTCTGTGCTTTTCCTGGCTCTCTGCTGTTCAGTCCTTCCCTTCTGCACTTGTGTTCAGGTTCGGGTGAAGCGGGTGGCGTGGAGCTGGCTGAGCATCCCACGACTGACGCATGGAGTGGCTTCCTGGGTAGTCACAGGACTGTGGTGTGGAGGAAGACCCCCCGCTCTCCCACCATTGCTCCCTTCCCTGCCTGTTCTCCCATAGGCTGGGTGTTTGTCATCATCATCATCACTTAGATCCAGGGTAATTCAGGCTGTTAGGCAGCCCCCCCAAAAAATCTTTTTTTTTAAGGATTTTTTTTTTTTTTTTTTTTTTTTAAGATTTGTTTTACAGGGAGTGTGCTCGGACAGGGGTAGGGGCAGAGGGAGAGAGGAGGAGAATCCCCAAGCCGACTGCACGCTGAGCGGGGGGCCCGAGGTGGGCCCAATCCCTGACCCCGAGGTCCTGAGCTGAGCCCAAGTCAAGAGTCAGACACTCACCTGACTGAGCGCCCCTAAAGCTTACCAATCTTAAGTGTACATTTCACAATGTTTTTACTCCAGATCAGGATGCAGGACGTTTTGGGAGGCTTTCCTGGGGCCTGCTGTAGGCAGTCCGCTCACCACCCCGCTAGGTCCTTGCTGCTGCGCCATTGGGCACCGTGGATGCCTTCTTGTTTCTGCTCTGTGGTGGCCGGCTCTGTTCCACAGTTCCGTCTGGGAGTCATCCCCTGTAATCTGTTCTTTCTTATTCTGGGGAGTAGCTGGTGGATGAGTCAGTCACAATTCATTGATCTGTTCTGCTCTTGCTGGGAGTTTGTGATGTTTCCAGCGTGAGGCTGTCATGAGTAAAGCTGCTGGGGACCTTCTCACACGTGTGTCTGGCGGCGGGGGGGACATGTGAGCTCATCTCTCCGGGGCCCAGGAGTCTGTCTTATCATATACAACCTCCTAGAGTTTACTGTCTTTAGGTGCGGTTGTCCTTCGGTCTGTGAAGAGGCCCAAGGAAGTACAGAGTAATTGTGGTTTCTGAACACCCTTCCTAATCCCACACAGGCCGACCCTAACAGGGAAAACTGTAGTTCTCTTGGCATGCCAGCTTTGAGCTTCAGAAGTTGTAAGATTTATTTACATCTTTACTTGAGAGAGAGAGTGTGTGTGCCAGAGGGAGAAGCAGGCCCCGCACTGAGCAGGGATCCTGATGCGGGGCTCGATCCCAGGACCCTGAGATCATGACCTGAGCCAAAGGCAGACGCTTAACCGACTGAGCCACCCAGGCACCGGAGCTTCGGAAGTTTGAAATGACTCCTTAATTTGGGGAGATTCATACTTCAGTATCCGCACGTGGAATGACATCATTGGTGTTCCCGAGAGCAAGCTCGTCCGGTTCCGTGGAGCTAACACAGCAGTGGCCACAGTGAGGCCCGGGCTCCACGAAGGCTGTGTGGGCCTCCCAGTGCCTGGGACGGAGCGTGGCACGTGGTAGGGACTCAGTCACTGTTCCTAACTACTTGTTGTAGATGGTCTGCTAGAAATTCAGGTATTACCAGATCCCTTCCCAAACCGATCCATGTGGGAAGTCATTGTTTTCTGCAGCCTGTCCAAGCCTTGTACAGATATGTTATATCCACCGTTAACTGTGTTTACGAATACAAGCGGTGTGAAACGTTGGTGTTAGTTATGTGTTCAGACACAGAAGGGAAGTTCTAGAACAACCCGGCTTCACAAAGCCCTTCAGGTGAAGAGAAGCCTCGATTGTTTAATAAGCAAATCAGAAAGCTGTGTTCGATGCACAAGAGAGCATACGGCTCTGGAGGCACTGCTGACCAAGCACGTGTCTTCGCTTGTCTGTCGAGAAATGCGTCACCCTTTTCAGTGGCTGACAAACGGTGTAAGTGGGAGGACACCTGTGGGCCATGGTGTTGGGGTCAGGCTTTGTAGGGAGCCCAGGGCAGCGTGCTCTGAGTGGCTCTGGATGGTCCAGTACAAACATCGTATTTTCTGCACACATCCTTCTTGCTTCTCCACACTGAGCGTTGTGGTCAGTGGTGCCCTTGAGAAACTCCAGCAGAAAGACCCCCGTTTATGGACTTGATGGTCCTGGACCCATGTGTACATGAGGACGGTAACAGGAGGGCGACGTAAAGCCTTTGTATGTCCCGGGTCCTGTGCAGGGTTCGGTACCTGCATGGTTACTCCTCACACTGACACCAGCAGCTGCTGTGTCCCCCGTTTCACAGAGCGGGGAGCAGTCCGGACGTAGCAAGCCAGTGGCTTTGAACTTTGTAGGTTGAGCTTCTGCGTCTGTGTTTGTAACCTCTTCAGCCTGGCTGGGTTGTATTGGGAACTAAACAGAACAGTGCGTGTGAAAGGCCATGCTTAGTGCTTGGGGCAGAGTGGAGCATTAGGTGTGTTAGCCATTGGGACGAAGTGTGCACCCATATCACTTTGAGGATGCTAAAACCTGAACTTTGGGGGAAAATTTAAAAAACAAACTCTGTCTTCCTATAGTATGTAGAGTGCATGTCAGCTGTCCGCCCTGGCTTGTGAGGGGCACACACATGGGAGGGTGCTTACTGTCCAGGAACTGCTGACCGGCACAGGACATCCAGAACTCCTCACTGGACGTGGTGTCCGGGCTGTCCCGTGGTGTGGCCTTGATAAGTGCCCAGATTCTAGACCCGAGCGGCGGAGAACATCACCTTCAGGATCGGCATGGGGATTGGGCCTCAGGACAGCAGTGCACGCCGGGCCAGCCGGCAGCCCCCCAGCGGCGAGCACTGCAGGAAAAGACTGGGCAGAAACACCGGTCCCTCCAGTATTGGCTTCTGAGGGGGCGGGAGCACAGTAGCGTTGTTTGTTCACTTTCTCCAAACTTTGTACTGGAAAAATTTAAAGGAAGCCTTTCTCGACATTGTGTCGCGGCCCGTGAACACAGTGACGCTCTCCTCATTCACCTCGGACGGTCTCTGTGGCGGCCGCATGGATTCTCGGCCGCATGGATTCTCTAGGTCTTGTTGCCGCGCTGCCTGGCCAGGCACTTTGGCCTCACCCTTCTGTCGTCCGGTGGGGAGACGTTTGAGGAGCAGGGGGGCCCCTTCACGGCAGAGACCCCAGCCCGGAGCCCGTGGTAGAGACATAGCTGGCTTCAGAGCGGCGTTTGCAGCGGTTTTAGAAGCAAAATATTTGTGTGTTTTGAATTACAGAGAGAAGATTTTTTTCTTCTCTCTCTCTCTCTCTCTTTTTTTTTTTTTTTTTTTTTTTTAATAACCGCAGATAAAAGTCACCCTGACCTTGCTAGGAATCAAACTTAATAGATAAAATCTTGAACAGTCCCTAAGTGTGGCTGACGGGCTTTCTCCTCGTTTCTCCGCAGGCAATATTAACGGCTGCCATCTGAACTATTACTTCTTTCTTCTGGCCGCGATTCAGGGAGCCACCCTCCTGCTTTTCCTGATAGTTTCTGTGAGGTACGACCGGCAGCGGTCGCGAGCCAGCGGGGCGCCTGCCAGCAGGAGGACCTGACGTCCCCGAGGCCACAGCCAGTGGACTGAAGGCGGCCGTGCGCTGAGCAGGAGAGGCTTCTCCCACTTCCTGACCACGCGCGTGGTCCCTGGATTGCCTCCTCTTCTCCCAGATGAGCTGGGTAAGTGCCTTTCCGTGGTTCCCCTCCCGGAGCAGACGCGGGCTTCTCGTCCGGACCGCCGTGAGCCCTCAGACGGAAGCCCGCGGCGGAGCTGCCGGGGCCTCGGGAGACCGTGCGCGTGTCCGTCGGCGTCCTGATGTCTTGGATGCGGGTTACCGTTTCCTCCTCGCAGACCGTATGAGCTCACTTTTTTTTCCTTTTTGATTAATAAACATCTACTACTTATCTTGAATGGGAGGGCTTTTTAAGAGATAAAAGTCTGATGCTGCAAAGATTTTGTGTAAAGGTCACGTTGATGGTTTCTTTCATAAGCCGCCAATCCCACCATTGCCCAGCTCGTTGGTGCGTGCTGGTGGTGAACATCTTTCGTCTGCTGCTTCAGAAACGACTTCTCTTTTCAGTGATCGACGTTGAATTTTTTTCTTAAGAGAGAATTCACATCAGGAAATATTTAAGACCGTGTGTCCTATCTCAAGCTACAAAACAACGTACAGGGTATTTGAAACCTTGCCTAGTCGGTCCTTCTGGGTCATTTCCTTCTGGACACCACTGAGGTTGAAGACCAGTCATGGAGGAACATTAGGTACACGTGGCTTGAAACAGAATCCGTGTTATTCAAGACCGTTGGCAGTGTTCCACGTTACCTGTGGACTCGAGCTGTGTGATGTCACCGGCTTCTGGATTGTTCTTTATTGGACGTGGGGGCTTGAATGTTGTTAAATAAACTGTTGTCTGTCTGTTGCTGTATTTTTGGTGTAACTTTATTTTGAAAGCCCCTCAAATGTGAGACCCGTTAACTACTTCACGGGGGTCGCAAACTGCCACGTGGGGGGTACAGTTTCCCGAGTCAGCAGTCGATAAAAATTACAGCATCACCTGCTCCTGTCACAGCTCTTTGGTTTCTCCCACATGGTGATTCTTACACCTGCTCTGTATTAAAACGGTTTTATATCTGGAGGAAGAAAACACAAAACCCCTGCATTTTTGTTTGTTTGTAACACACAGCATAGGAAACGACAGGGAGATCCTGTGGCGGGTGGAGTCCAGGCAGAGTGAAGACAAACAACTGTTCTCGGGGGACTGACGCTGTGAGTTTGGGTTGAAAAGCACTGATCTCACCAATACAGATTCCACTAGAGATAACAATTTATGTCTTCAGGATAGACCGAAAACTGTTCCTTCATGCTGTCAAAGATACATGCTCTCTGTTGAAGGGAGTAGTGAGGAGAGGGAAAAAGGAGGTCGAGTGACGGGTGCAGGCCGCCCCTGCCGTGTGTGCCTCGCGGTGCTCGTGCCCCGGGCACGTGGAGGTGGGACGTGGGGGCCCTCCTAGGGGCCTCCCTGGATCTCTGCAGGCACTGTCCAGGAGAGTCTTCCAAGTCCGTTGGTGGACTGGCACATCAGAGTGACAGCCTTGGAGTCTTTCCGCTGCCCTTAGGTTGTAGGTGATAGAGTTCACCCTATGGCACGAAGCAGTAATCGAGTAAAAAAATACACAAAACCCACGTCCAGTCGTGGGAGATGTTTAGAAATGGTGTGTCCACCCTGAAGACTTGATGTGTCTTCAGCTTGTGTGTGTCGGCCTCGGAGAGCCCACATTTGAGCTCTGTTGGAAGACGCTCCCACCTGCCTTCTCTTTGTTGCATGAGGACGGGATGGGGCTCTTTATTTCTCCCCAGTATCACGGGCAGATCCAAAGAGCAGGTTTTAATAAGACGGAGCTTTCCTACATGAGCTTGTGGGAAGAGAACCTTGTTCTGGTGTCAAGTGGACCTGTGACGCCTGTCCATGGCATGTGAGGATGGCCCCGTCCATATGTCCTGCTGTTTCTCTGGGACCCGAGGGGTGGGTGGGGGGTGCCCATGGGAGCGTCCCGCCACCTCACCAGGCAGAGGTTGAGATGCCCCTTGTTGGTGGATCGAACGCATTCCCCTCTGTATATGATGTCACAGAGTTTCAAAAATTACACCAGGCTCCAGTGGCTTCCAGATTCTCGGTAATACAGCTTGGATGCTCCTCAGTGCTACCGAATTGTTCCACTTGGTACAGAATGACCCCATCCCTTGAAAATCAAAGCACATTAAAGAGGAACAAAGTGCTGTCATAACCTGAAATTGCTCTGTACTACTGATTCACTATTACTAAAACAGGCCAAATATTTTATGGGCAATGAAGTCATTTGAGTAGACGCTTGAGAATGTTTGTTGTAACACCTTGCTCCTTTGGAAACAGGGCTTTTTCGAGGAAACAGGATATAAAAAGTGCCTGATTGAAACAGAACATGTTAAATAAAGGAGAAGTGCAAAATAGAAAGTAAAGGGGGAAAATAGTCACACGAGGCAAGGTTGCCTAACTGAAAAATCAGCGTTTGCTGATTTCCAAATGGGCCACCAGCCCAGAGCTCCTTGGAACGGAGGCCAGCACAGTGCTGGGGGGTTAGGTCTGTCTTGTCCTACCGACTTAACCAGCCCTGCAAGCCAGCGCTGCACGGGGGAGCAAGTGAGTCACGGGCTCCAAGGAGAAGGGGAGGGGACCCGGCGGGAACCCCCTTGTTTCTCTGTGCCATGCTGATTTTCCAGAGGCTTTGGGATCCAGCAAAACGGGTGACAAGAGGAGCCAAGGAGGTGGCAGACCACCTGGTGTTTTCAAGAAGCGCACGATCAGCCCCTTGACATGCAGGACTGCAGTGGTCGGGGCTGAGTTGGACAGGCGTCTAGGACCCGTCCCTCATACAGCCTCCACCTCCTTCCCTAACTACCCCCAGGCCGAATCCCAGCTGCCCTCTGCACTTGTTCTTAAAAACAGGTCAGCCTCTCAGCCATTAGTAAGTCTGCAGAGCCCAAGCCTGGAGACATGCCTAGACACGTCCAGATGGGCTTTTTGCCTGACTGATGACTCCTTGGGGTCGGAGATCCAGGTTTGGAGTCACCTGTGGGGAGGGGATGCTTGACGCCTGAGCTCGTGAGCCTCCCGGAGGAGGGATGTAACCCTGGCCGCTCCCGGGATCTGAGGTCAAGGAGGTGAGGGTGGAGGGTGCTTCCCGGAGAGATCGCATCTGCCCCACGTCTCTCCCGAGTGAGATGACCGCCCTCTGGGGAGTGGTGAGCTCGGCTGCGGAGCACTGGGTGTGCAGGTGGACGAGGCGCCTGCTTGCCCTGCAGGGACCCAGAGGAGAGGGCCTGTCGCAGGGGCTGCCCTCAATTCTGTCCCTCCCTCCGTCCGTCTTCCCTCCCTTCTTTCCATTTCTAGCTTCTCTGTCCGCCCCCCCTTCTAAATGCCAGGTAAAGGGAGATCTCCGTGTTCATTTTCCCTCTTTCTGGAGTGGAGAAACAAACCGCAAGAGGTGTCAGCGTCTGCCTTAGGGGACATTAGGGGCACGGCAGAGCGCTGGACACCGAAGCGGCATCCTCGCTGCCTCGGGTGGGCTGGGCTTGGGTCCCCTGAATGGGAAGAGTCGAGGTGGAAATGTTTGTGGCAGAGCGCACGCCTGCGCAGAGGGCCCCAGTGTGTGGAGGACATCTCCGTGTCCTCACTCTGCTGGCAAAAGCCTCAGGCAGAAATGCAAGGGGTGGAGAAGGGTGCAGGAAACGCCGGGTGCCACCCACATGTTTGCATGCAGCCGTGAAGGTGTGAGAGCCCAGACACTCCTTGTGGTACATCCACCTCTTGGGGTCTGTCCTGGTAGAGAGAGGCCTTGCTGCAGTACCGGGGTGAACGGTGTGCCCCAAAAGTCATGTGCGTCCACAGACTGTGGCCTTCCTGGAAGTAGGATCGTGGCAGGTGGAATCAAGGGTGGGCCCTGGATCCAGTACAACTGTGTCCTCTTGGGCAGAGGGACACTGGACGCGGGCACCGGGGAGACAAAGGCCGGACTGACGTGTCCACAAGCCACGGGAGGCCGAGGCTTGCCCGCAGCACCAGGGGTGGCGGGGCTCTTTCCTGCAGTTAGAGGGGGATTCCTGGTGTTTCAGACCCCCGCTCTGTGGGACTTGGCCACGCAGCCCCGGAAAATGGGTACACGGGCCCCCACCTGGGCGGCTTCCCCCAGTGGAGACGGAACCTCTGACAGTTCGCAGCCGAGAGAGTTGCATTCCCCTCCAGGGGCTCCCGGGAGAATCCGTTTTCTGGCCGTTTCCTTGCAGCTTCGGGCAGGCGCCCACGTCCCTCGACAGGGCCCCTCCCTCCGTCTGCCCAGTGGGCGACACAGCATCACGCGGCATCTTCTGCCACCGCCTCCCACTCGTAAGGGTTCTCGTGGTTACACCGGGCTGACCCGGATGCTCCAGAACCGTGTCCCCCTCTCAGAGCCGGCGAGTCGGTGCCCGCACGGCCACGCACACGGCGTTCGGGTGTTTGCACGTGGACATATGTGGGGGCCGCTGCTCTGCCCGCTGCGTTGGCTGGCCGGCCACCCAGGTTCCAGAAGGTCGAAGCCACTTGCGCGAGCGAGGCTCTGACACGTCGCAGGAGAAGTTCCTAACACATCCAAGTACCGTCACTTCCTCTAGGTCCGGTGGTGCTAATAGCCAACAAAATTAAAGATTTCTTGGCAGATCCAGACACGAATTTTTATGCTGCGTATTACCGCATACATTCACCCGGTGCAAACGTGGACAAGAACAAACTAGCATTTGAGGAACGGAATTAATAAATCCCACGCTGGCGGGGCCCCCGATGCCAAGAAAACAAGCATGGTCCCGTCCGCTTCCTTGCTTCTCATGTTCCATCCGGGACTCTTGTTTCCATCCCGTGTTCCCGAAGTCAAGGAAATTACAGCAGGCCATTTACATCGATTGAGAGTTAAACGTTTCCTGTGCTTATTAAGGCGTATTAAACAGGGCAGCCCCAGCCAGGGGCCTGTCTGCTGGACAGAACACTCATCCGCACGGCCACTCTGCGATCTAGAATCCATCGGCGAGCTCGGGAAGAGGAGCTCGAGGGGCTGGCATTGAGTGACATCGTGAAGCAGAAATGTGCGGAGCTGGTCACGGTTCCTGCTCTCACGGCCTTTCTGGGGGGAGGGCTTGGCCTGCGGGGGAACCAAGGCTGAGAGGGCAGGAAGTGCCCCAGGAAAGGGGGGTTTCCTTAAGGAGAGGTGGGCCCTTGAGTGTTAAGCTTTATCTGGGGGGGCAGACGGGCTTCTGACATTTTTTGTTTTGTTTTCAGTTTTACTGAGATACCAAGGCA